GAACCTAAAGAGGCTTTCTTTTCCGGTAGCCAAATATTTCCATAATAAAGTAGATACTTCCTGCAGTTTGAAACTATAAATCAAGGCAAAAATAAGAAGTTAGTCAGAATTGAGAAGGAAGAGGCGTCTATAGTATTATAATTATATCAATTCAGAATTCAGAGGAAAGAACCAGATATCAGATCATTAGATACTTAAGGGGAATTGACTTTCATATTTTCTTTGATGATGTTTGTGGTTAGTTTCAGCTTCGCGCTTGACGATTCAGGTAGCACTTGCTGCTTCTGTTTCTACCTCATTTGTACTTAGAGGCTTGACTTTCTTTTTGTTTCTTTCTTCAATACTCGTTGAAGAGGTATGTTCCTTTTCTATGTAGGACAAATCTGATAGACTTGCACGCATGCTGTGAGAACTTCTCCAATATGATTTTCTCAACTGAATTCAGAAATTCTGGCTGCAAACCTGTCTTGGACATAGTTAATCGGCAGGAGTCGTTTCTGGAAATGAGAGATCAACTTTTAGACCTAAAGTACCAAACCAGAGAGCCTAAATAAAGCTTAAAAAAATCTCAAAAGGGGGAGGGGAGTCTAATACACTGCAATTATATTACGCTGGAAGTGTATTGTTTATCAAACAAAGGAAAAGCCTAAAATTCATTAAGGAGATTCCAAATCAGCCGAAAATTCGGAGTGACTAAAACTCTATATTTCTAATCAGCCAAAAGAATTAACTCCAACCAAAATCAAAACATGCATGGATTTCAAGGCAGAAATTAAAAGAGGAGATACTGGGATTTAATAGATTACTTCAAGCTTAACTGACTGTACTATGTTCTAATAATTAGTAAACCCTCCTCCTTTATCCGGGCTTGGGACCGGCTGTATATCTCCAACACAGGCGGAGTTAAAAACTTTGTTTTTTTTTTTGAGGTAGTGATCAACATGAACATTGAGAAAAATGAAATGTTTGAGTAATCACAAGAAATTCTTATAATTTTGTCAACAGTGAAAGAATTTTTTTTTATTAGTTCTCAATATGACAATGCAACGACCCAGTGAAATCTCACTAGTGGGATCTGAGAAGAGTAGTGTGTACGCAGACCTTAACCCTACACCGAGGGGTAGAGAGGTTGTTTCCAAAAGACCCTCGGCTCAAGAAAACGAGAAGAGACAATATATCAGTAGCATCAAAAGAAACCAAAGGAATACTAACAGCAACATAAAAGCCAGAAAGTAGATAGAAAACAATAGCAATAACCAGTAAATAGACCCGGCACTATAAAACGAAAGAGTAGTGAGAACACAACATTAACCACTAGCAGTCTAAGATAAAAATCCTATCAAACTAGCCTCACATAGTTACGACCCTACCCTACACCCCTAATACTCGAACTCCGCAGTTTCCTATCAAAGGCCATGTACTCGGAAATCTGATGTCGCGCCATCCTCCCTGATCACCTCTCCCCAATACTTCTTAGGTCGCCCCTACCTCTTCTAATGCCTTCCAGAGCCAGCCGCTCATACCTCCTCAGCGGTGTATCTGGGCTTCTCCTCTATACATGCCCAAACCATCTAAGTCTCGCTTCCCGCATCTTGTCATCAATGGGAGCCACGCCCACCTTCTCTCGTATATCGCCATTCCTAATCTTATCCATCCTCGTGTGCCCGCACATCCACCTCAACATCCTCATTTATGCTACTTTCATTTTTTGGATATGTGAGATCTTAACTGGCCAACACGCAGCCTCATACACCATGGCCGGTCTAACTACCGCTCTATAAAACTTACCTTTGAGTAACGGTGGCACTTTCTTCCAGATGCTAACCTCCATTTCATCCAACCCACCCTAATACGGTGTGTGACATCCTCGTCGATCTCCCTATCCCCCTGGATAACCGACCCAAGGTACTTGAAACTGCCTCTACTGGGGATTACCTGAGATTCAAGCTTCACGTCCATGCCCGCTTCCCTCGGCTCGACGCTGAACTTGCACTCCAGGTATTCTGTCTTGGTCCTGCTCAACTTGAAACCCTTATACTCAAGGGCCTGTCTCCAAACCTCCAGCCTCTCGTTACCGCCTCGCGTCTCATCAATCAGAACTATATCATCCGCGAATAACATACACCAAGGCACCTCTCCTTGAATATGGTGTGTAAGTGCGTCCATCACTAGGGCAAATAAAAATGGATTGAGCGCAGATCCTTGGTGTAACCCCATAACAACCCGAAAATGCTACGAGTCGCCTCCTACAGTTCTAACCCGAATCTTAGCTCCATCATATATGTCATTAATCGCCCTAATGTAGGCATCCGGCACACCTTTTGCCTCCAAGCATCTCCAAAGAACCTCTCTAAGAACCTTGTCATACGCTTTCTCCAGGTCAATAAACACCATGTGCATATCGTTCTTCCTATCCCTGTACTGCTCCACCAACCTCCTAATAAGGTGGATAACTTTCGTAGTAGAACGACCCGGCATGAACCCGAACTTGTTGTCGGATAGACACCGTCCTCCTTACCCTCACTTCTACCACTCTCTCCCAAACTTTCATGGTATGGCTCATTAGTTTGATACCCATATAGTTGATACAACTCTGGATATCACATTTGTTCTTATACAACGGAACTATCGTACTCCACCTCTACTCATCCGACATCCTCTTCGACATAAAAATAACATTAAACAGCCCAGTCAGCCACTCCAAGCATGCTCTTCCCACACACCTCCAAAATTTCACCGGAATTTCCTCAGGCCCGGTCGCTCTACCCGTACTCATCTTACGCATAGCTCCCACGACCTCATCAACCTTGATGCGCCTACAGTATCCAAAGTCACAGTGACTCGGAATGCTCCAACTCACCTAGCTCAATATCCTGATCTCCTTCTTCATTCAGAAGTTTATGAAAGTAAGACTGTCATCTCCTCTTAATTTGGGCCTCACCCATCAATACTCTACCGTCCTCGTCCTTGATGCACCTCACTTGGTCCAAATTTCGAGCCTTCCTCTCTCTCACCTTGGCCAGCCGGAATAACTTCTTATCCCCGTCTTTGTCCCCCAGTTCCTCGTACAGACGACTAAAAGCTGCAGTCTTAGCTTCTGTGACCGCCAGCTTAGCCTCCTTCCTAGCTACTTTATACCTCCCTGCTCGCTCTCCTCTCCTCCTCACTTGTGCTCCCTACTAACTCCAGGTATGCCGCGTTCTTTGCTTCCACATTACCTTGAACCACTTTATTCCACCACCAGTTGCTTTTGTGCCCGCCAGGGTAGCCCATCGAGACCCCTAACACCTCTCTCAGAGCCTCTCTTATACAGTCTGCCGTCGTCGCCCACATAACGCCCGCGTACCCACTACTACTCCAGGCTCCCAAAGCTGCTAACCTCCCCTCCAACTCCTGGGCATTATCCTTAGTCAAGGCTCCCCACCTGATCCTCGATCGTCCTCGCATAGACCTCTTCTGCCTCTTTAACATAATACCAACGTCCATCACCAAGAGCCTATGCTGCGTCGCGAGGATCTCACCCGGGATAACCTTGTAATCCTTGCACAGCCTTCTGTCACATCTCCTGGGGAGTAGATAGGCAATCTGAGTCTTTGTCACGGCTCTTCGGAAAGTAACCAAGTGCTCCTCCCTCTTCGGAAAACTAGAGTTCGCAGTCACCAACTCAAAAGCCTTAGCGAAATCCAACAGCGAAGTACCTCCTCCGTTCCTATCCCCAAAGCCAAAGTCGTCATGCACCTCGCCATAGCCACCTGCAGTAGACCCAATATGTCCATTGAAGTTCCCTCCTATAAATAACCTCTCAGCAGGAAGAACATTATGCACAATCTCATCCAACCCCTCTCAGAAGCGCCTTTTAACCTCCTCATCCATGCCCACATGCGGCGCATAGGCGCTAACGACGTTTAGAGTGCACTCTCCAACCACCAACTTAATAGTCATTAATCTATCATTGACCCGCCTAACCTCAACCACAGACTCTCTAAGATCCTTATCCACCAGAATACCTGCTCCATTCTTACCCTTCCGGACTCCAGAGAACCAAAGCTTATACCCATCTGCATCCCTCGCCTTCGATCCAACCCACCTTGTCTCCTGGACACACGCTATATTGAGTTTCTTCTTCTGGAGGATCTTCACCAGCTCTATAGACTTACCCGTCAATGTTCCTATGTTCCATAACTCAATTCTCAACCTATAGGCTCCCTTGTTCCCCTTACCTCCCCTGCCTCCTGCCCCAACCCTGTTCTCTGGCCTACTCCCCGCCCCCGAGGATATGACCTCACTCTACCATCCCTGACTACAACCACTGTACCTATGACAAACTAAAGAAATCACTAACACACANGGCGGGCAGCAGTGCCGCACCAGCAGATGCGAAGGGAGAGGAAAAGATGAGAAAAGGGGGGAGAAGAAAAACAGTGGGAAAAAGAAGAAGAAAAAATGGGGAAAAGGTGCTGCTATAGTCACCGGAAAAGGGGGCGTCGGCGGGCAGCGGTCGCCAGAGATGATGCCTCTTTTAGTTTTGGGAGTGGNATCACTAACACATAAGAGGCAACGGACCAAACTAGAAAAGAACAAGTTGTAACTACAGACCCGTTAATATAAAGATTAAACTAATGCGAACTAAAATGGTAACAATCTAGCTAACACAAAGAAGGGTAACAGGAATACGGGAGGTACCAACTCCCGCGAATAAAACCTGGAGATTGTCTTGATGCACACGACGATGTTGCGGCACCTGGCGCGTTCCCGTCCAAATTCCTACCGCCCCTTGCTGACACTCGCCTAGGCTGTTCTCCAATGTTTGCACGCACACATCCCGCTTGTCGCCAATAGCCATCGACTCTTGCCTGCAATACGCACAAAACACCACGGCACCAAGAAAGAGGGGGGGTTGTCACCGCTAGCACTAGTGAAGCCCTAGCAGTAGCAAAGATAGGAAAAGGGAGAGGAAAATAAGAGAAATGGG